AGAAGGTTGTGCAAAAACTGTTGTAAAGTTGTGAAAAGTTAAAGCTGCCAAAGATGTTGTAAAACGATGTCTGCAACGTGAAAGTTAAAGCAAAGCGTGTCGTTTCGAAGAAAGATGCCTAGCCAGCACAACTGAGCCAAATGTTCGCACGAACATAAAGTAGAAAAACAGATGTGGACAAGCACACAAACCGGGCCATGTATGCCGACGACTGCTTTTGGTCGTGCTCTCTCTTCTTCCTTGCTTCCTTCTCCTTTCTCTTCTTCTCTTGCTCCTTCCTTTCCTTCTCCTCTTTGGCTGCTGCTGCGGCTGCTTCTTCTTCCTCTGCTTTCCTTCTCTGGGCGGCTGCTTTGGCTGCTGCTTCTGCTTCGTCTCTCCTTTCCTGTTCTTCTGCTGCTTCCTCTAGCACTCTTCTTGCTTTGGCGATCTTCTCCTCCTGTGCCTTCTTCTCCTCTTCTGCTGCCGCTTTTGCTTCTTGCTGCTCCTTTGAAATCCTGTCCTGTTCTTCCCAGTATTTTCGGTCCTCTTCGTCTCGTGTTTGAAATCCTGGTTCCTCTGCCTTTGGCTTTGGCTTTCCTCTTCCTTTGCCTTCCTTCTTGCTTCCTTTCTCCTTTCCTTTCGTTCCTTTCTCGCTCTTGTACTTGTGGTCCTTGTCCAGCCAAATCTTTTCTCCTGTGACTCTGTGTTCCTTGTAGATCTCGCCGTTCTCGGTGTACTCCTTCCACTCGCTGCTGTAGTCGTAGGGGTACGGAAAGAGTTCTGCAATTCTATTCTAGCCGCAAAGCTTTCCTACTCTCGGTTCCTCTAATACACACGTGTGTACAGCAGACGGTCTGACATCCTTTTGGCGGTAAAACACGAAGCAGTCGAGAGTCCAGCGTAAGGCCAAAATCGAATGCGAAGTGTTGCATATCACCGACTGCCCGTGTAGAGATAAGCAAAGACCAACATCAGTATAATATACCATCAACACAGGAGTCACCACAGAAAAGATGACTTCCGGGCCGCAATGATAAGCGGTTCTCGCAATCCAGAGTGTTTGGAGAGTGCCATTAGGCACAGCAATCCACAACCAGGGTGGGTCGGGCGGGAATTCAAAATCCCACTCCGTGCTCGAGCAGCTTCGCGGCTAGAATGCGCAGACAAATCATTCCATGCGCTACAACAGAATTGTAAAACATGCTCGAGTAAACACGAAGAACGTTCTACAGTTCTATTCTAGCCGCAAAGCTTTCCTACTCTCGGTTCCTCTAATACACACGTGTGTACAGCAGACGGTCTGACATCCTTTTGGCGGTAAAACACGAAGCAGTCGAGAGTCCAGCGTAAGGCCAAAATCGAATGCGAAGTGTTGCATATCACCAAGACCAATAACTGCCAAAGGGGATGTCAGACTCGCTACCTCGGCCCAAGACCAAAACGTGAGGCTGATAGCACCTTTGAACAATGCTCCGGACAGAAGCGGCACTTGCCCGCAATAGTAAACAGCTCGAGATGAGAAGCTTCGAACATAGAAACACACATGTTGGCAAGGGCTTCCAACTACCGCTGCAAAGTGAGGAAAGCTACCGCAATGCAAAGCTCCTGCGCATGCACACCGATCACAGAGTAAGCCAGTAGAAACAAAGCTATATTCACAAGACCGTGCAGACAGAAGCCTTTCGACTACCAGCTGCCACGACATGTGGCTCAAGCAACGTGGTCGCTCACACCGTGTCGATCGCACTGCGCGCTGTATGGCTCGCCACCGCCATTTGAGGAACGCCTGACCTCACGGGGGAAGGCTAGGCCGACCGCGCGCCGACGATGGTGCACAACAGTCACCGGAAGTGCAGGAACACCAAGAGCCCACGGGGGAAGGCAAAGCCGACCGCGCACCGTGAGATGTTGAACCTGCCCGATGCCGTGCGCTCGCGATTGAAGCTCATCGCAAGGATGCTCCGGAGGCTTTCACAAGAAAGTGGCATTCGGCGGGGATTTCTGTTGCTCCCACCCACAAGACTGAGAGAGGGCAGCGAAACCTATGATCCAAGATGCAATTCGAAGGAAACACCGCTGTATTGCCTTTCCACCTGCCCAAGAGATCGGCACTGTCATTATGGCATCCTGCGATGTGCGAGCAGGGCTTGCGGAGTTTGCTGTGGGTCGCCGCCCGTGCAGCACCGGCAGGGTGCGTCGTCAACGACCATGCCACAAAAAGCCCGGATCTGCCTCGCACTCGCAGGTGACCCTGGCTCGCATTGGTGTTGCACCAGCGTTTGCAGGACTATGCACAAGCGAGCAACGAGGATGCCAGCACATCTAAGAGCTAGAAGATTGGACCCGTTGGATGTCGCAGCTGACGCTGAACTTGCAGTGAAATGCTCCGCCAAAACTTCGAGCTGTGCAGCGAGTAGCTGCCACCACACACTTGGCCCAGCCACACGATCGTGCATTACACTCTGCAAAGGACATTGCCCACGTCGGCACATGCAAGTATCCGTTCGAAAGCTGTTCGAAGGCTGCGAAAGCATCCTGAGTTTAACCTCCCCCTCGCAGCTTACAATATGCGCAGCAGCAACTGGGGCACAGCTTATCGGACGGATGCTCGTACTTACGCAGGAGTACTTACGACAGGATGCTGATAAAGGGCCATCAAGCAGCACTTCACGAGGCTGCCGAACATGCAAACAGGACTGAGCATTTTTCTTCGGCGTTTGGCATCAGAATACCAAATAGTGTTCCATACACACTTGCGACAAAAATCGTGATCGGATGTGGTGTGCTACTTTACGAACTGCCAGCACACTGCACAAGCTGCTCCACTCCGAAGCTGATCGAAGGCTTCGCGAGCCTCCTGAGTTTCACCTCACGCGCCAACACAAGTGGGAAACAGCGTTTCTGAAGGATGCCTGCCCCGTTGCCGCAGTCATGGCAAAATGCTGCGGGCCCGCAACCAGATAATGCATCACGCGCGTCGTGAGAGCCTCCAAACTTGCGGACCGAATCAAAGACGTGCCTGGTGCGATGCGACTCGACCAGCCGAGTCGTTGTGAGAGTACATGTATGCGAGGGGTCATGGCCGGCACTGTGATACAACCCCGCATATACTTCGCGACCCTTCAGCGGGGAAAGAGTGGGATAGGTGAACAAGATTCGAGAAAGAATTGGGCAGCAGTGCAGGTGCACGAAACACCTGCAACGAAGTATCGAAGTTTCATACAAGGGCATCGATCGTCGTAGAACGTGCAGGCTTTAGCATCTACCCCAGCTGTAGCAATCAACGATGCGCTGCTTGTTGCAGTGCATGCAGGAGGCTACTGTGCGGAAGGCCTGGGGCGAGAAGGCTGCAAGTCGAAAGGGCCGACGGAGGTGCACGATGTCGAGCAACGACCCTGCTTATATCGCCTTCCACTGCATCGGCTGACTCCACGAGCGCAGTGAAGCCCTCCGAAAGTAGGGACAGCAGCTCGACCCTCAAAGAATTGCTGGCAGGGGTTGCTCGACCTGTTTGCCAAGCACATGACCTATAATAGAACCAAGGGAAAGGCATGCTAGATGGCATGATGTCACTCCCATCGAAACAACGACTCCGGCCATGCACTCCGCATCTTGCACTGTTGATCCGCGGCGTGGGATTCTTTTCCGGGAAGGTGCAGAAGAAGCTTCTTCTTTGACAAAACCTCGGCCTACTCACCCAATGAAAGGCACTCTTCGCCAGCATTCTCCCTGGCCACTCGGCACGGAAATTGGAAACCGAATGCAAGGAGGCCGAAATGTGTCTTTGAACAGCCGAATGAAGCATATGAAGCGACATGAACCTAGGCACCGTCGGTCATGTGGAGTTGCTTGGGCCTCCTGCCTGTGCTTGGAATTCTCTGGCTCCAGCAGCGCTCACATTCGCGGCGAATGTGCCTAGAAGGACCAGGTCCGTGTCGGCGCACGCTGCTTGCCAAATGCATTGCACACGTCGGGACATGCAAAGACCCGTGCGGAAGCTGATTGAATGCGTCGCAAGCATCCTGCTTTCAACCTCACCCTCGCAGCTTACAACATGCGCTGAAGCAACTGCGGCAGAGCCTATCGAAAGGATGCAGGCACTTACCCATGAGCACATATAACAAGATGCTGCCTAAGAGCATTCCACTAACACATCACGAGGCAAGTGAAAGAGTTCGAGTATGCACACCGGAGCAATCCGGAGTCTTTGTCGGCTCAAAAACCACCATCGTGCCTTACAGTCCGGCAAGCGCATTGCACAAGTCGGCACATGCGAAGAGCCATTCGGAGGCTGATCGAAGGCTTCGCACGCATCCTGAGTCGGAACTTGCAGCTGACCTGATGCGCAGAAGCAACTGGGGCACACCTTATTGGGCGGATGCAGGCACTTGCACATAAGCATTTATTCTCTGTTGCGAAACACATCATGTGCAATTATTATAATTGCGAATATTTCCACAAAGATCATCTCAAATATAATCGAGATATCTTTCTTCAAAGAAATATAATATATAAAAATCTCGCACAGGCAGGCCTTCATTTTTCTTCCAAAGGGGAATGCCACGATACCCTGAGCTCACAACGGCTCAGGGGTAGGCTCAAGAATAATTCGTAGAAAAACCTCAGGGCGGGCTTGGGCGGGAACAAAAACTACAGCAAACTTATGTTGCTGTCCCACCCTCCCACCACTTGAGGCGAGCGAGGGACATAGATTCATCACATGTTCAACAGCCAACCGTTGCAACAGTAAAATTGAAAGTCGTGTGGAAAAACATGATGTTAATTTTTCAAACATGAAAAATTTTCGCAAAGTAGAATAAAGCGATCATCCCTCCGGGAGGATGTACTTATTCTCTGTTGCGAAACACATCATGTGCAATTATTATAATTGCGAATATTTCCACAAAGATCATCTCAAATATAATCGAGATATCTTTCTTCAAAGAAATATAATATATAAAAATCTCGCACAGGCAGGCCTTCATTTTTCTTCCAAAGGGGAATGCCACGATACCCTGAGCTCACCCCCTTCTTGAAAGGAGAGTGGCCAACGAAGGACGTGACCTGTACCTGCACATGTGCTCGACTGCACCAAAGGTCAGCCGCGAAGGACCATCGGCAATGTTCGAGGAAGTGGGTACGCGGCCGTACCACACATGCACTCGAGACTGCATCTCGAGCTCAAGAATCTTCTGCACCCACAAATCCGATGGCTCAGATGAGTCAGCAAAGCAACGGATGCAAGAGTGCCGCGCGCCCTCGTTATCAAGATAACACACCAGCTGTGATCCCTCAAACAAGTTTCCCCAGAGCTCATACGCGATGAGCAAAGGAGCAAGCTCGAGCTCAAAGATCGGATTCTTCGAAGCAGCGAGAAGATCATGCATAAGGGATGACGGCACTTCCTCTCCAAAGTATCCTGCACAAGATCCGTTCGGGGAGATAAGAACCCCCCCTATACCTCCCCACTGTCGCTCTGGCTCACAAGCTCCGTCAGTGAAAAGGATCCAAGTGGACCTGATACGCGGCTGAACAATCAAAGGAGCTGACGAAGATACACGGTCAAGAAGAACCTGAAGCGCAGCTCTATGCCTCAGGCCCAACTCGAAAGTGACACTGGATTTGCTTGCACGCGCCAAAGTGCGCATAGCCTGATTGCTGACACGGCCGAAGCTGTAACCTTCAAAGAAGACCATGCGCCCACGCAGGCGTTCGAAAGATCTAGGCTCAATGCTCCCGGCATCCATTATGCCATTCAAGGATTCCACAAGCTCATCTTTCCGCTTTTCTGTGTGACCAATGAGCACCCGGCGCTCTGCTGAGTGGGACAAATCTACTTGCAGACCAAGCGTACCGAAAACTGCAGCATGCTCCACAGCCTTGCGACCTGACCTGTCAAAAGAGATGCCCAAAAGGTCAAACAAGCTTTCGATGGCCCAAGCAGTGTTATCCTTCAGGAGAGACCTACAAACATTCGTGAAGTCATCAAAGTATGCAGTCCACAGCACTCGGGCCAGGACAATACCGATTTTCCAAACGGCATACGAAACCCTGAGGAAAGCACTAACTAACGGAAGCAACAGAGCCGAAGGGGAGGGCGTTCAAGCCCAGAATCTCCGGCGAATCTTGCCCAGGCCGATTGACGGCAATGCGAACCAGATCACGGTCATCTGGATGAATGCCATACTGTTTGTAGGCCGACTTGAGATCATAATTTCTTCCAACCCAGTGATTCAGATGGCCGGCAGGGGCCCATTCTAAAGCACAGGAAAGAACTGCGGCAAGCTTGTCTATCGTGTGCAATTCGAACCTCTCCCTCAAGCCCACGGTAAGGTTCAAGCAAGAAATGGTGCAGTCGTCTATCAACCTTACTTTGCCTCCCTGGCGAATGCCAAAGCGCATGGTGATGCTACGGCCTGAGAATTCTGTGGCGACCCAAACCCAACAGGCGTCAATCTCCTTTTGAGTTTCGGTCCAAACTGTCTGCTCAAGCTCCTCGTCCTGTCGTCTAGCAAGCTTGGAAAAGACAGTTTTATTTAAACCCGGGGCCAACAACCTAAGAGAGGTGGAAGACATCTTTGGAGCCCGGACCTTGGGAGCCGTATTACCTGTCACAGGCATCCACCCTGAAATCCGAAAACCCGAAGCAATGTCCCGGAACAAGTGTTCATCACTGCAGCCCGCGGCTGTCATCATCTCTTTGAATAACAAGAGCCGCTTGCCACGTAGCACCTCGGACAAATAATCGGGCATGTCAGAATGAAGTTTATCCTCAGCTGGTTGAAGCTCCTGGGCACGTGCACTCCACTTCTTGACAAAGGAAATCCTAAAGCGAGCCAGCTCCGATGCATCGTCCACAAAGTTGGATCGTACGGCCTTACTGACTTCCTCCTCCAGGTGAAAATCAAGACTGCGAGGGTGACCCACTTCTACGGCCCTTCTTATGAATTCATCCGGCTCGCAAGGGATGCCTACGCTGCAAAGCTCAACCGATGGCAACACACCGCTGTGCGATCTCGGATCATTCACTTCAAGAAAGATGCAATGCTCGCAATGTTCGACGGCCTGAGAAAATTCCCCCGACCTCAAAACCTGCCTACGGACTATGCGAGAACCTTTAGGCAGCTGTGCCAAATAGGCATCGGCAAGATGAGGCTTCGACGAAGGACAAAAGCATGAAAGAAAATGCGAAAACTCAGCCACGAGGGGACCGAACGCGTTGCCACGTGGCTGAATGCCTAATGCAATCCTGGTAGCTTTGTGACTGAGTGGGATTCCAGAAGCCGACTCTGGCAGGTGAAGCGGCAAACCACAATGCACCGCCACCAGAGACAGCAACCGATGGCACAGGGCGGTCGGATAAGTGGATTCATCAGCCGTAGTAAAGCGCAGTTGGCGTCCCACGAGACGGGGTTTCCAAGGAAGATGCTGATGCGAGCCATCGCACCTAGCCTCCAGGGGGGCGAACACATCCTGAGAAGCCCATAATCGCAAGAGACGTGGCCGCTCACCACCATGACAGCACAAATGGAAACGTGTCAAAAAGCCCTTGGCAACTTGTTCAATACCACGAAAGAAAGAAGTTTGCCAAAAGAGCGAGCTGTCAGGGTTCTCAAGAGCCACAAGGAGTCCTAAGGAACAAGCAAATTGAACCAGGCGCCCGACTTCAAAGTACAGTTGGTTAGCCTCTTCCACTCGGCGGCGGTCAGACCCAGAGAGCCCGGGCAACATATCGGGGTAGTCTGAACTCCGAAGAGCAGAAGGCAACTGGAAACCTTGGCGAACCCACTTTTCAATGTGCTTGCCCCGATGAACACTTGCAGTTCCTGAAGGAAGCGAAATGAAAATCAAAGCAATCCGACTCCGTTCGGACTCAACTAGCTCACAGAGGTAATCGATATTATCAGCGTCAGCGAGATCAAGGCGCATGATCTGTTTTCCAGGAGCCCTGGAAGAATTGCTATCAATCGACAAGGCCTGAAAACCCAAATTCTCAGCAACCCGAGACAACACTGCGTGCCCAGAGCACTGCTCAAGAACAAGCGGTACCTCGGCCGTCAGGGGCCGCGTAGATCCTGGAGCAGGAGGGCCCTGAGTGACCATGCGAATGTCACGGAGCTTGACAGTGGCACCTGAATTGAGATTGCGGAAAACAAATCCCAGCTCAGATAGGAGAGATCGACTGTCGGTGGGAAGTCGCTCCGAGAACGACGGCATGTATGCGATAAGGACTATCCTATTTCCTTGCCAAGGCATGACTGCATGGTGCACCGACGGATCAAGCTTGACTGGGCCTGATGCAACATCCATCAAGCAACCCCTGAGACTAACCCCATTATGGTCGTAAGTGGCATCGCCAGATTCATCGCGAGTCCACACCTGGCCGCCAACGAAATCGGTCAGCGGAATGATCAAGCTGCGCGAACCCTTTTCATTGAACTTGTCAAGATGAAAACCCGACTGGACATTGAAAAGAAGCTGTAAGGCTCCAAACTCGAGCGTCGGATCAACTGCACGAACAAGAGATGTCAAGTAGCGGCAGACCATCGGCATGTTGGAACAGCTGTTGAACACACAGGCCTCCCCTGCGCGAACATAAAAGCCGAAACCAAGCTTTCCACCTTCTGAGGTCTGAGCTTGAGAAGTCCTCAAAGACTTATCCTTAGGTACCAAGTCCAACAAGCGAAGACAGCTGGCAGCATCGAAGCGGGTTATGCGTAGGAGCTCTCGAGCCAGAGCCTCGGATGAGGCAGGTCGGTTAGGTGTCTCCTCCGCCTTGGTCGACGAAGCAACTGTCTTCGTAGTCACAGCTCCTGAAGGATCTAAACCCGAAGGGGTCTCGGGGCCCTCCGAATCGGCATTCGCAAGGGGGTGCCTAGGAGAAAACCCTAAACCCGATGTTGCAGGCACTGCCATCTCAATGGCACGGCTCGCCTCAGCACTAACCCCAGATGTGCCAGTGCACACGGGATTCCCATGACATATTGGATCGGATCGTCGTTTAAGTTGCAATCTAGCCCGAAGGAATTCGGCATCGGCACAGCTGCCGACTGCATTCACATGCACGCTCAAGGGAACACCACTCAAGCTCGAAGTCCGCTTAACGGACTCTCGACAGTGCGGAGCATCGCACACTTCCCCGGCAGCTGTTCTGTCAGCAGAAGACGCGACTGGCTTGGAGTGACACTCAGCCTGCAAAGGAGCTAGTCACTCCTTCTTTGCTGACTTGCACGTAAGGACGGAATGCCCCGGCTTGTGACACGCCGCGCAAACATGCAGCCCTTTCTCACACTTCATCCAACCTGACTTCGGATCCTTCTCAGTCTTATTGCTGCAACCATCCTCCAGATTAAAACCCCAGCATGCATTACCAAACTTGGTCCGGGTCTCGTACTGCGCAAGACTCGCCGGCTTGTTCTTTGGACCACCACGAGCCTTCGCCTTAGCCTTCGCCTTCTCAGTGGCAACTCTCGGGACCTTGGGTGGAGGACCATCCGGAGGTCCCGGCTTCTCAGAATCCTTAGACGGCACGCCCGGGACCCTCTGCACCTGAGTTTTCTGCATAGGGAGCAAAAACTGACCGATGCGCTGATCATACATCAAACGGCTCATGACTGCATCCAAAGGAAGTTTCCCCGAAGCGTCTTGTTTGAAAGATGCAAGGCCCTCCTGCGACATCAAAAGAAACATCTCCTTGTCTGCCCGCACACATTGCGAGAGAGTCACTGCTGCAAAGTTCGGTGGCGGAACTATCGAAAGACAATCAAGCAGCTTCTGCACCCACTTTTGATGAACGTTGTACGAAATCATGCGACACTGATCGTACGCCAATCCCCTACGCTGCCAGGCCCACTGACACCTCAAAGCATCAGAAGCATCGCACTCGATCGTGGTGCTGGGTCCTCCGAGCTTCACCGTATTCTGTTCAACTTGCAGCACGCTAGGTTTCTCCTTGAACCCAGCAATGACTTCAAGCTCTCTCTTAGGACACTTAGATGGAGCCAACCAATAAATGACAGAGTGCTCGAGCTGGTGGTTGCAAGCATCGACCAACTGATAAGCTGGATCCAGCTCTCCTTCCAACTCCAAACCTGCCAGACGCGCCTGCTGAGACTCTTCACGGGCTCTCTTCTCAGGCAGCGGGAGCTTCCTCATCGGTGCTCCATCCGTTGACTCATGACTCACCATGTCCCTGTATGTCTGAATGACAAGTGTGGATGCTTCGAAATGCAGCTGGCGAATGCAAGAAAGCTCACCCACTGTAGGATCCCCGTCACCCGAGCCGAAGACCTTCTTTGTCAAATCAGCAAAGGCGAGTTCTGTCGGCGGGGTCTGGGGCGTGCCCAGAGCAAAGGCCAAAGACCTGAACGTCTTCACTCCCTGCCCTGCCATCCCCGCCACTAGGGACCCATCCCCTCTGATCTCCAGACATCTCCGCTCGAAAGCGGCTTCACTCTCTATGATGGTTGACATGCCGATCTACCTCACTGAGGCTTCTTTCGAGCCCCTCGTCTCGCACACAACAGAACATGGCTACAAGCTTCAGCAAAAAGACATGTACATGACTGCCACATGAACGAACATGCGCACTCCGCAAAAGAACTTCTTTTGACCTATCATGCCTCCGCGATCTTTGCGCACATCCTGCATCGAGTGTACACCGGACCTGGACGATCAGTAAGCTTCCTATGCAGCGGCCCAATGGAACGGCCACATGCGAAGCTTCTCGTATGCCCGTCTTGCACAAGATGCAAAGTCTTTAATCTGGTATGCTCGAAATAACTCATCCCTTCCGGTGGGTCAGGGATAACCCACCTTGCAAACGAAGGCTTACCCTGAACCGGCGCGGAAGAAGACTCCGAGCTGCTGCCTGAGCCAGTGGTCGCAGCTTCAGACGAAACTGGCTCTTCGCACGGTTCAGCCTCAGGCAATACTGAATCCTCATCTTTGATTTCCACAACAGCACCTGAGCAAGGCTTCACGAATCGGCCGCTCCTGGTGCAATCAGGCTTGAAAGTTCCCTGTCGGATGGCGAGGAGAACTCTATTAAGCAGAATCAAAGTAGGCGCGGCAGAATCCCGACCATATGTCAAAGGCATCTTAAAGTCACCAGTATGATATCCCAGCAAAAGCAATTCCTCAGGGCTAGCCCCAAACTTCGTCGCAAAGCTGATGCACGTGCACTTGCAAGAATGACTCGAGACACGACGCTCCGGGCGAACCTCCTTGCTTCCAAACAAGAGCAGTCGGGCCCAGTCCCCAGCCTCATCCGAATCCAAGCTTCTAATCGTTGGCATCCCCTATCGGTCGGGGGCCGGCATAACAGGGCTGTGTGGGGGTTCCTGCAAACCCAAGCGGCCGCGTACCTTGACGTACTGCTCGATCCAGTTGCCATCTACCACCCCAACAGCCGGTGCAACCAGAGGCAAAAGTTGCCCTTTCATAATCTTTGCACCCATCGTCTTATGTACCCCGACCGATGCTTCGATGTACGCAGCCATGCCATCATCGGCCCTATCGATTATGAGGCGGTCAGCATGCTCCAAATCTTCCCACCGGGCGCGGGAGTACACACAAAATAACAGGGATCCAGCCATGAGTTGATTCCACGGCTCAGGGTCCTCAAACAATATTCGATGCAACTTGCTGAGCTCCTCCACGGTAAAAGGAGAAGCCTGCACTCGAGGCTTGAAGTCACGGGCCCTTGCAGAACCGTGGCAGCGTTTGCTCTCCCCCAAGGAAGCCAGCTCGGGGATCCCCAAAACAAATCGGCAAAAAGTAATAGCCTCAAGCAGCGACTTGCGAGTAGACGATGGCTTGCCCTCCTCTCGCAACATGCACATGTAAGCATAAAACAACTCCTCGCTGCCAGGAAAATCGACCCTCCGGTTGCGAAGGAATAAAGCATACCCCAAAACTGAGCGATACCTCTTCCTCAGAGTGGCCGGTGCCTTGCCTCCCAAGAGGTCTTCCACCATACCTCTGCGGACCTGTGGTTCGAGTACCAAAATCTGGCCGATCACAGTAATCCTTTCAGGCCAGGTAACTAGCAAAGATTCCCAGAGAGAAAGAGCCTCATCCCTCTCCTTATCTCTTTTCTGCTTCCAGCTGAGAACTTCACGATCACGCACAGCATTCAAGAAGGAGGAGCCGCCCACCGCTCCAACTGACGGCCCAGACTGTCTGGGCACTTTCCTGGGCTGAAGCTCGGCCTCACCAAGCACAGGTGCCTCGGGCCTCTTGAAGTCTGCCCCATATAAGTTTGCAGCGTCGTCCCTGCCACCAAAAATCTGAGACCAAAAACCACTTTCCCAGAAAAATCTAATGCCAGGGGCCGGAAGGCTTTGGTGTGCCGCGGCAACGGCCGCTGACACATTGATTGATCCAGCCGATAATGCAGCTCCACTTACTGTAGCGAAAGAAGGTCCGCAAGAATGCGAAGGCCCCGAGCGGTCAGCAGCCGCAGCAGAAAAAGATCGAATGCTGCCTGCCCTCTCAGATACATTCGCATTCGAATACCATTGAGCCTCTTCCAGTTCACTAGGGTCAAAACTCGCACTGCGAAAAGGAGACTGCTGTCGACCATCTTCCGAACCACGCAGAAAATCATGACTTGCTAAGCTGTCAAGGTGAGCCTCGAAAGGACTAAGCAGCTCCTCTTGCTCTCCACCAACTGGCCTGTCACTGCCCCCATCTCCCTCTGACAGTTGGTCACTCATTTCAAGGCTGGGCGCAAAAGCAGCTGCAGCGAATGTACCAACACGTACGAAGAAGTTGCAGGCGCTCGACAGACGAGAGGCAGTCCCAGATCAAGCGCGCAGCATCTCTATGCCCGACACTCTTAGCCAGAACAAAAACTACAGCAAACTTATGTTGCTGTCCCACCCTCCCACCACTTGAGGCGAGCGAGGGACATAGATTCATCACATGTTCAACAGCCAACCGTTGCAACAGTGAAATTGAAAGTCGTGTGGAAAAACATGATGTTAATTTTTCAAACATGAAAAATTTTCGCAAAGTAGAATAAAGCGATCATCCCTCCGGGAGGATGTACGTATTGGCATGCTCCGTGGCTTGTTCATGCGTATGCGTGACTGCCCAGAGGGTGTTTGGAACTATTGCAACCATCTCAGGAACTCGGCACATTCTTGGGAACTACATGCCGCAGTGCCCCTGCCTAGGTGGAACTACATGACAGCAGTGCCCCTGAATAGGTGGAAATTGTACCCAACCGTCAGTACCGTGTCGATGCGTCCTGGTACACCTCAAAAACCCGAACATGCCAAAGAGATCTGGAGATCCGAATTAAGGTTATGATGGCCAATGTGGGCTAGACCCAAATCTTACTCCAAACAAACCAGAAGCTACTCTAACGCATGCATGACAAGATGCTGATAGAGGGCAATGAAGCGGTGCATCAAGAGGCTTCCGAATATGCAAACATGAAAGTTTAAACCCTTAAACCAGTGTCCTTGTTACAGCACGGCGCGAGCTTCAGATTCTTTTCTCACTACACGCTCTGCTGTCAGGCTGTCTTGAGCCTACGTTTGACCTACGGAGATACGCAGTGAAACTGGCGGTAAATTGGGCATGAGGGAAAATTGAACATTCTGTTACGCCCTCATCACGTACACAGCTTTGTCGTGTCACGTGATCCTTGTGAAACTTTTCCTACTTCTACCGCAGTTTTCGCATGCTCCTGTGAGCTTGTCCTTCTCTTCTCACACGCTTCTTTGAGCACTTATTGAACATCTCTTTCCTTTTCTTCCTTTGGTCTCCATCCTCAATCTTCAGATGTCCTATAGCAGATTTGCGAATTTGCTTTCCACACACATTTGGCATGGACTCACTCCAATCTACATGCACACTCACTTTTTCTTTACGTCGCGATACGCGATGTAGTCGTAGTCCATCCTTGCCCTTCGGCAATCTGGAAACTTCTGTCGGACTTTCTGTCATTAGTCCTTTTGCGAACATTGACTTTTGAATTCATCGTAGTGCTCGTAGTGCTTTGACGTTGCCGTGGGACATTGCGTCCACGTGGCTTTTGCTTTTGTCGTTGCCGTGGGATCTTTCCATCCTCGTGGCTTTTCGTAGCTTCTCCAAAGCTTTCGTTGTGAAACATTTTGCCTTGGGCGCTTTCGCCCTCACTCTTGCCTGGCTGATTTCAGCCTCACTCCTTTCTTGCTGGGCATCGTAAACGCCCTCACGCTCTTTTGCTCTTCTTTAAACCGCACCGCATATCCTTGATCCGGCTCAACGGTTTACATCAACTCTTCTTCGTCTCGCTGGCGTTTCTCAGCTCTTGCTTGATCGAACGGAGATACGCTCTTACGCTTCTTCTCCTTTTCAACCTTTTCAGCCTTCTCAGTTTTCTCGGCTTTTTCGACTTTCTTCTCTTTATCCTTGTCCTTGCTCTTGGACTTGTTCGCTGGCTTTTTCTTCTTTGGCTCTTTCTCTTCTGCTTTCTTCAAAGTCTTTTCTTCAGCCTTTGCTTCATCACTTTTCTTGGACTTCTTTGGTTCTGCTCCCCAACTGTCTTTTGGCGTGTATCCTAAGCCAAATGTCTCTTGGAAGTCTTTCAACTCCTTCTCATACTTGTATGCATTGTCTTCCAGGTAAGTCCTTACACTGTCCTTGTAATTGCAGATGTCTGGGGTATGGGTACCCCAGCCCTTGTATCTGAATGAGCGGTAGGACACGTTTTGGAAGTAGAGAAAACATACCTTGCAAAAGATCTTGCGTTCGGTATTGCTGCTGTCTGGCCGTTCGCCGTTGTAGAAAAGTCTGACAGCTCTCTCCATTTCCGGACATTCCGGGGCTTTGTGCTTGTCTGACGCCTTGCAGTAAAAGCAGTGTAGGTACTTGGTCTTCTTGAACGACTCTTCCTTTTGATCCTTGAGCCAATACGGATTCACTTACCTTTTTGGTGGCGTACCTTCTGGCTCACTTGGCTTCTCCTTGCCATGATCAAACTTTGCCTTTGCTGCTTTATCAATCGACTCATCTGTCGCTTCTTTGTACTGCTCTCTCAGCTTGCGCTTCAACTCCAGCTGCTTCTCCTTCGTATTCGCTGCCTTTCTCTCTTCCTCAGAGATTGTCGGTCCTCCTTTGAGAACGCTTGGCACTTTCTTTGGCATTGCCTTTATCTTCGCTGCCGGTGTTGACGGGTTGCTTCCCTCGCTTTTCTTCTTGATCGTCGCCATAAGCTTTGCTAAGGCCTGTCTTTCTTTCTCCTTGTCTGGGTCTGGCCTTGTGTACAAATCTAGGCTTTTGAACTCTTCACTTAAAGCTGACAATAGCTTGTCTGCCACTTGTACCACTTCGCCTAGCTGCTGCAACGCACTTCTCACATTGCTTGTCTTCTCAACATCTCCTCTTGCTGCGACTGCATCTTCCTCGAGTTCTCGAACTTTCTTCATCTTTGCCTCGAGCTTTTCTTTCATCTCCTTCCTGAGTTCTTGCTCATATCGATCCATCTCTTCTCTAGCTTGCTTGTAAGCTTCTTCTGCTTTGCGCTCGTCTTCGGTGAGCGCGGACATGCTTTCCATATATTCTTGCATGTCGTCTTCCACTTTTGCTAAAAACTCTGCGGTCCTTAGTCCGTACCCCAATGGGAGTCTTGAAACGGGGCGCCTCATCTGCTCTTGCCACGTCAAGAATTCTCTTTCTAAAGACGTTGTTGGCATTGATTGCCGAATGCTTTCGATATTCAACTGTCCCATGACTGTTGGGAATATAGACATTGTGTCTACGTTGAATCCACTTCTGAGGGCTTCTTTTGCTCCTCGGGCTTCCTCGTCAGAGGATTGAACTACCGATTCTTCGGCATCTTTCTTTTCTTCTTTCTCTTGTGGCTCTTCATCTTCCTTCTTCTCTTCCTCTTGCTTCTCCTCTTCTTCTTGTTTCTCCTCTTCTTCTTGCTTCTCCTCTTCTCTTGGCGTCTCTTTTTCTCCTTCTGTTGGCTTCTCTTCTTCTCGAGCCTTTTCTTTTTCTCTCTTCTCCACAACGATGTCCGCTTCTGCTTTAACTTCTGCTCTTCTTTCCTTGGCTGCTGCTTTCATTTCCTCCAGCTGCTGCAGCTTCTCGTCCATGATCTCTCCTTGCTCTCTTATCCTTTCCTGGACGTGTTCTGGTATCCGAATAGTTCCTTGCTTCAACGCTGCGAAGTTAGCCTCTTGCGATTTCTTCAACCTTTCTGCTTCTTCTGCCAGTTCTTCTGCAGTTTTCTTGAACGTCTCCAAATCTTCTTCCTTCTTGTCTTCTGGCACTTCTTCTTCATCATCTTTATCTGCTGACTCGCTGTCCTTGGACTCATCGGACTCTGGATCCGACGCTGCTTCACTTTCCTCCTTTTTCTTAGTCTTGGCTTCGTACTGCTGATTGATCGCCTCTACCTCCTTCCAGAGGTCTTCAGTGCTTGGTCTTTGTGACCGTTCTCTCTTGAGCACTTTTTCGAGGTAAGTGGTAGCCTCGATGCTTCTGCTGCACTCCGTGATCATATACTTGACTGCTTCGTCATCTGCCATTGCTCTTGTCCTATCTTCTTCTTTTTCTTCTTCCTTCAGGACTTCTTTCTTGAGCAAAACGGCTGCGCTTGCGACTTTATGCATAATCGCTGATATGAACATGCACAACAGTATGCAAACTACACTTGCTCTTCCCAGTCCTTGTTCTCCTTCTTCACCGAATCTTCTTGCTTCAGCTAATGATAACAACACTGCGGTCGTAACCGTCTGGATAATCCTTGTAATCATCCTTTCATCGAATCTTGGAACACTTCTTGTCCTTGTCCTTCTCACTTCAGCTTCTTGAACTTCTTGATCACTTGGTGTCAGAAATTCACCTGTGTATCCTAAGCTTAGCATATACTTTCGTATCTTCTCCCGTGTCAGGGATTTGGTCCCTAGGTCTGAGGGACTGTCCTTACCTGCTATCGCCTTTATGATAAGCTTCGGGATTCTTTGGATCCATAAAAGGTCCACTTGTAAATGGCGTGCTCTTCCTAAGCCTTTTCTTGAGATCAACTGTCTTGAGCTTGACGAATCACTGTATGACATCAGTCTTGGTTCAACTCCTAGGATTCTTGTCAGCAATCCTTTCAGGAATACACCTTCGCTTAAGATTGATGTCGCTGCGATTGTCTCAGCTTCGCAAGATGACAATGCTACGCTTTTCTGCCTCTTGCTTTGGAAATGAATCAGGTTTCCATTCACCATGATCACTCCGCATGAAACACTTTGTCTTGACTCTCGGTCTGCTGCCCAATCACTGTCGCTTATCACTTCTATGAGTGCTGGCACTTTGTAGTTGTCCCTTTCGTTTCCTTTTTCGCTTCTGTTCTTCACTTCGAGGAAACTTTTTCCAGGGTAACTTCCTTGATGTACCAATGCGAGCTCTGGTGATCCCTTGAGATACTTTCCAACGTACCTTAACAGTTCCATGTCTGCTTCAACGGGTGATGCGAGCTTTGTTGACAGCTTCTTCAAGACATACATGATATCTGGCCTCTCGGGCGCGAGATACAGTAGGATTCCTACTCCTTTTCTGAACGTGTGGTGATCTTCTGTACTCAGTGGTTCCATTCCACCTTCTTTTGTTTGAAACGATCTTCCATTGTCCGCTGGACACGGTAGTTTCTTCGGGTATGCTCCTTCCAACTTGAGCACTTCTACCAGTCCTTCGATATACTTTGAGTTCATCGTGATTTCTACGTTTC